CACATGGGGAGAAGGCCAGTATGATGCACCTGTTTCTCCATCTGCCCCAGGGGGGCCGACGGCCCGCTAAAGGGGAGCGCCTTTACTGGCTCTGGAATCTGGAGTCCAACCAGTTTCGCTGGGGTTGCGAGTGGCCCTGGGCCCGGCCCTTTACTGGAGGGCCCCGCCACCCTCTACCGGGAAGCCACGCAGCCACCTGGGCCATGGGAGCCGCTCAGGATTGTAGGGGGCAGGGTCGAATTTCCACTCCAAAGCTATAAGAGGGTCTGGGATAGGGATGAATGATTGGAAATCCGGCAGGACAGGGGTTGGCCCTGCGGGGTATCCAGGTGGTTGTGGCTTTCGCCCCTCCTGTACCTTTTCAATGAAGCGAGAGTGTCGAATCGACCCTTCCCGGTGGCATTCCCATCCCAAAGGTCGGCCACTTGCCTCGAAACAGGGTGTGAACTTTCCTTTCTTTACCTCCCGGGAAACGCTATGTGTCCTTGCCTCACATCCTTAAAATGGCCTACCAAGATGGACAAGGGTGGTTGACTGGTCTGTCCCATGCTTGCGGAGGGGAGGGACAGGGAAGTACACCTGGAAGATCTAATAAAACAAGTAAAATTAGTTCTAGTTCGTCTGATTAGGCGCTGCTGTCGGAGGTGTCACTGGCAGTCTTCCTTTTTCCCCTGCTGGCCCGGCTGCTTGCTGCTCCTCACAAAATGGGCAGCAGCACTTGGCCTCTGTCAGATCCTGTTTTAGCTTCCCTGTGATTGGTTCTTACGAGCCATTCAAGGGGGAAAAGGAAAAAAAAGGATTATTAATGACAGAGAGGACTCACAACATTCAACCAGGGACTCCAAACGGACACAGATAACATGAAAGGACACAAAAATTACCAACCTAGGTCCGGACTTCGTCCCCGACTCCCTTCTGACCCGAGCCTCCAGCTCCTAGGTCAAGCCCTAGGGATTCCCGGGGTCAGAAGGACGTCTCCTTCCAACCCCAAACCCCACGACCCACCAGCGTGTCCGCTAGGTCCCCTTGTCGGCCCTGACCTACTGGGCTACTCCAGAAAACCTAGGTCTCTAGTCACTCCTCCCCTCAGTCCTGAATTTTGTTCAGAGGTTGCGAGATCCCGACGACCCCAAATGTTTTAGAGCGGGAGACGTAGGACCACAGAACAAAAGAGACGGGGTCACTGAGGCTGAAATCATCAGAGGAGTTTTTATTGACTAGCTCGAGCTAGGGTCCAAGTCCCAGAGCACCGACACGGCGGGCCTCTTATTTGGGACAAAGGGGACCCAAGCCACTGTGGGACGGAGCCCTTTATACCCCAGGTACATAACCAGTCCACGCAATTGACCTTTACATTGATTGATCCCTTGTGCCCACGTGCTTGACCTTTACATTGATTGGTTGGCCCCTTATGCGCTTGCCCTTTTGTTTCATCCCAAAAATTTACTGCGATAGGCCTGCTCAACCCAACTTCCTAAAAACAAGCAATATACATAAACTAAAAGAAAGCAATTAGCCTGAGGCTTCACAAAACCACTTTGATATATTGCCTACTTAAATAAACTCTACCTTTAAAAAAGAGAATAGTATGGGACTGCAAACTAGTTCAACCTCTGTGGAAAGCAATATGGAGATACCTTAAAGCGGATTACAAGTGAATCTTACCCCATTTGATCCAGAATTCCCATTGCTGGGCATCTACCCAAATGATCCAGTGACACTCTACAAAAAAGACACCCTGCACTCGAATGTTTTATAGCGCACAATTCATAATTTGCAAGGCTGTGGAAACAGGCCAAGTGCCCATCAATCAAAGAATGGATTAATAAAATGTGGTATATGTAACACCATGGAGTATCTATTTCAAGCTCTAAGAAAACATGTGATTTAGCACACCTTATATTTTCCCTGGTTAGAGGCTGGAACCTATTACTACTAAGTGAAGTTATCCCAAGAATGGAAAAACAAGCACCCAAATATATTCCTCCAGCAAACTGGTATTAACTGAGTAGCACCATAAGTGACACATAGAGGTGCTAACAGTAATTAGGGTATTGGGCAGGTGAGAGGGGCGGGTATATACATACATAGTGAGTGAGGATGTGCACCATTCTGGGGTGGTCATGATGGAGACTCAGACTTTTGGGGGGAGGGGGGGAAATGGGCATTTATTGAAACCTTAAAATCTGTACCCCCATAATATGCCAAAATAAAAAAAATAATTAAAAAAAAATGCAAAAAAAAAAAAGAGAGAGAATAGTAGGAAAATAAGTGAAATCAAGAAGTATAAGCTACTTTTTTGAGGAGTTTTGTTGTAAATTTGGGCAAAGTCCACTTTTCCTTGCTGTGTGAACCAGGCAAGTTAGTAAATGTTTCTAAAACACCATTTTCTCATTCTTAGAATTGGAATAGTAATACCTCCCACATAGGATTATCTTGACAATAAAGTGAAAAGTATACGTCAGGAACTTAGTGCAGAAATAGCACATAGTAAGCACCCAGGGAATGATTATTTTTATTAGAATTATTGTAATTTGTTAGATTCCATAAAACTCTAGCTTTAAACCTGGTATTTCCTAGGACCACTAGATGGCATCAGCCTCAACAGGCGCGCCTCTGGCTCGCTCTCAGCGCTGGCACACAAGGAAGACTGTTCCTTGTCCCCTTGTCTTTCCCCACCTCAAAATTCTGACAACTCCACATTTCCTCCTCTTGATTCACAACTGCCATGTGGACGCCAGGTGGCGGTGCCACTAGGCAGGGGCACAAAGGACTTGGAATTCAATGTCGTTTCCCTATGGGGCAGGGCAGATGGGTTCTTTTGGGGTCCAAAGAAATGAGTTTCCTAAGTTTCCCCTCTCCATTCAGCTCCTCCTGTAGAAAAAGTAAGACAGGGCTGATGGGGAAAGACACTGAAGGTAAGTGACAAGAAGGTGGGGAAATTATAGGGCAAGGAAATCAAATGGAGATGGGGTAGGAGAAGTGAATGAAAAGAACTCTGGGGTAAACCAGGAGTACTAACTAGTATCTGTAGTTACCACACGGATGACACTTGTAGGAGTTTGGGTTGACACTCTGACTGTCAGGGAACAGTTTCTATGTCCCTGACATGAGGCTTATCTGAGTTTCCCCTGGGACAAGAAATTCTAGGGATATCTTGAGACCGTAAGGTCTACTACACCCTCCTGTGGGGCCCATCAAGATACCTAAGTTTTCCTCCCAGCTCTAGCCCACTTAGCTGTGTGATTTCAGGGCAGTTTCTCTATCTGTAAGGTAAGGTTTGGCTGCTACATAACTTTTCAGGTGCTTCCAGGTTTAAAGTGCTATGACCTATGGGTATAATGACCTATGACCTATGGGTACTGCGGATATCAGACTTTTCACAGACCATCCTCTTCCATGAGGGCTTCAGCTTCGACAAGGTCGGGAGATGCAGGAATTATTTCCCACTTTGTAAACAGAAAGGACATTTTGTGGGGAGGCAAAGGAATCAGACCAGCCTTCTCCTCTCTCTCCAAATGCCTATTTTACCCTCTGTGGAGTTTTGGAGGGGGGGAGAGCAGAGCAGCCCCAGAAGGAAGCAAAGGCAGGTCTGCATGGGAATCTCCCCACCCTCGCCCCACCCTGCTCCCAACAGCTGCCAAGCAGAAAACTCCAAACCAGTTCTGGTGAATTCACTGCTAACCGTGGAAAGTACCTGCTGTTTCTAGGAATGTGAAAGTTTCTGTTTCCTAGAAGAGGAGCCGTCCAAGGTAAGTACCTCCCAGCACCAGCGGCATGTGCAACGTTGGGCTTTCAGTGGTGAGAACAGGCAGGGAGGATGGAGAATGAGGACAGCGGAGACATTTCTTCATTTATTCAACAGACTTTTTATTTATTGTCTACTATGAATCCCCCTAGGTGTGTCGGTCTAGTGTAAGGACAGAGGAGGGCAGGGCCCAGGAGTGACAGAAGCACATGGCAAGAGCACTTTCTCAGACGGAGGAGGTGAGGACGGCTTCCTGGAAGACCCGAACCCCGAGTTACGTCTGAGTTAAGAACTCAGAAACCAGCACAGGGTGGAGCAGGGGATGGGTAAGAAAACACCGTATGCAAAGCCACACGGGCACTGGGGAGGGCAGGTTTGTTGCAGCTGGGGCTGAACGCAACAGGAAAGGGTGACACAGATCGGCGGAAGACCCCGTGTGCTCTGAAAAGGATCTCGGCAGGAGGGGATAAGAGCACCTGAAGGATCTTATGGAAGTGGCATTGTCCCATGTGCCTTAGAAGGAAAAATGACTTCATGAAGGATGGCTGGAGGAGGGGCACTAATGGCAGAGAAACTTCTCTGCAGATGAGATCATCTAAGACTACGAATGAAGGCTCTAACCATGGGACTAGAGAAGATCATCCACTCAGAGCTATTCGGAGCTGGAAGCAACAGAGCTTTGCGTGATCTGATTAGGGATTGGAGATTACGGACAAAAGATGCACTATAGTTAATTGGTTGAGAGTGTGCACTCTGGGGTCAGGCCTGCATTCAAACTCCAACTCCACCACTGTGTAATCTTGGGAAAGTCCTTTAATCTCTTTGAGCCTCAGTTTCCTCATCTGTAAATTGGGGATAATAATAACTGACCTTATACGGTTGGAGATAAGGATTAAAACTGATAATATGAGAAACATGCTTAGCTTAGTTCCTCATATTAAAAGTCTATAAACGGTAGCCATTATCATGTTATTATTAACACTTTTTATCAGGGCACTGCTGTCTGTCCCTCCACACCCTAGCTTCCCCCAAATATCAGACACTGGTGAGAATGGGCAAGGACACAGAAAGGCAACCTCATGAATATTTATGTCATATTGGTTAATTTGTACCATGAAGCAGAATTAAACGACTGGTAGATCAGCCAGCAAAGTAGTAACTACAGTTCTCTTTGGGAGGAAAACAATGGGTAGTTTTTCTTTTCTTCTTTGTACTTTTCTCTACAGTCTAAATTTTCCATATGAACTGTTTATATAATAAGGACAATATTTTAAATATCTTTATTATGCACAGACCACTACTCAGCACCAGGCACAGCTCACGCACCCAGGAAATAAGGTTCCTGGGCACAAACAGCACCCACCCCACCCGCTCCACCCTGCCAAAAGCACTGCGTAGTCCGAATCTCCACCATGCCTCCAGCCCAGGACAACCCCCGGGGAGACTCAAAGCAGGAGCTGCTCCGGGTCCTGGAGATGGCCCTGGGAAGGCCCGGGGTCCTTGGGGCCGCAGTCGTCCTCCAGCCACCCGCGCACCAGGCGGGAATAGGCGTCCTGCCCCTCGCCGGGCTGGGCGCGCCCCCGCAGCTCGCCGCCGCGGAGCACCAGGACCTGGTGGGGGCGCCGGAGCACCTGCGGCCTGTGCGCGATCACCAGCACCGTGCGGTCCCCGCGGGAATGCCAGTCCTGCAGCTGCGGGGGAGGGTCGCGGTGCCTCAGAAAGGTAAGCGTGGCGTGGACACCACATCCCAGCTGGGCACCATGTCTTGTGACTTAGGGCAAAGAAGGCGTGGGGACAAGAGAAGGCAGGAAAGGGGAAAGGGTGGTAGACGACGGCCCGCACTGCCCTTCACTCCCCGCCACACGGCTGCAGCCGGAGGACCGACAGGGCGCCCGGGGCAAGCGGGGCTGTCCCCACACCACGCTTCCCCAGCCACCCCCAACCCCAAGAAGGCACAGGCCCTCCGCGCACTAGTGGGCATCCGTCCTGCCCGCCCCATTCTGCGCAGGCTGGTCCCCCCCCCGTGTCCCCACCGTGCCCCCACCGTGCCCTCCCACCCCGCCGCCCTGCCCCGCCGCCTGCCCCGCGCACTCACCGCCTGCTCACACTGCGCGTCCAAGGCGCTGGTGGCCTCATCCAGGACCAGGACCTGCGGGTCCCGCACAAGGGCCCGGGCAATGGCCAGTCGCTGTTTCTGCCCCGCAGCCAGCTGGCTCCCTTTCTCCCCTACGTCTGAGGAAGTCAGAGAAATGCCCTTCCTCAGACACAGGGGCCACCCGACTCTCCCCCACCAGGAAGGACGGGAGTGCGGGCGTTTCCACTAGGACGCGCGGGAGGGGCGGGGGCGGGGCGGCCGGGCTGCCCTCCTGGAGGAGCCGCTGCCCGCACTGCTCTGGGGACCGAGACTGCCGGGGGCAGGCTGAAGGGTTGCTGGTGTGCCGGGAGGGCAGGTGGGAGGAGAGGAAAGGTCACAGCCCTCACCACCAAGAGTCAGTTCCATTTTCTCTCTTTGCTGAAGGGCAGCCTTACAGTTTGCAGAAGATACCTGTATCCATTCCATGCTCCATTTTCTGTATGAAGTCATAAGCGTGGGCGGCCTGGGCAGCAGCTGTCACCTTGTCATCCTCACAGCTCTGCAGCCCGTAAGCAATGTTGTCCCTCACGGAACCCGAAAACAACACAGGCTCCTGCCCAACCGAAACCACCTGTGCACAGGTGACACGAGCAGAGGACCGTGTGTAAACCCCATGGCAGGGACCCTGCTTTCCTCCTCGCCTGCCTCCCTCGACTGGGCCCTGGTGCTCCTTCCCCTGGATCTCCTACCCTGTCTCTGCATACGCCCTGTGCCCCCACCCACCTGGCTGTGCAGGTAGTGGTGCTCGTACTGCCAGACGGGCTTCCCGTCCAGCAGCACCTGTCCCCCGGTGGGCTGGTACAGATTCTGCAGCAGGGCAGCCACTGTGCTCTTCCCAGATCCATTGGGTCCCACCAGCACTGTCACCTCGCCAGGACGGAGGGTGAACGTCAGACCCTGGAAACGGGGAAGAGTTGGGGCCACCTCTTCTCCCTCAGGACCCCTCCCTATCTCGTCTTGGCGGAGGCAAGGCCAGCTTCTCAAATGCTCTGCAGGCTGTGATGCCTGCTCACACACAGCGGCAGCAAGCAAGGGGTCCAGGGTCCCTCCCCATGGCCTCTTCCGGGCACCTTGAGTACAGGCTGGTCAGGGCGATTGGGATATGCAAAGGAGACATCCTGGAATTCCACAAGCCCCCGCAGAGTGCTGGGGGCCAGTTCCCCAGGTGAGGGCAGATTTGGCTGTCGGTCCAGGTAGGAAAAGACCTTCTCGGCAGCCCCCACGTTGCTCAGCATATCGCCACACATGTACACCAGCGTCTGGAAAACGGGAAGGGGAGGGCAGCCAAGCACACTCACCTCCCCCCGGAGCCAAGTCCCAACTCCACACACATGCCGCCCACAGCCACCCTCCTCCCCCTATCCACAGACTCTCAACCCTTAAATGTGCAATTTGACTGGGATTATAAAGCGGCACCAACACCCCAGTGTTCCCATCTGCAGCAGGAAGGACGCGAAGGCCATTCTCCCAGCGAGCAGCGGGGCCTCCGCCCCCAGACCCCGCAGCGGCTGCCTGCGCAGCCCGCCCGGCTCGGGCCCACGGGAGCCCCGAACAGCAGGCAGGTGCCCACCTCCTCGTCGCAGCCTCCCGAGTGCCTCGCGCAGCTCTCCACACACAAAAGACGCTTACAAAATATCTAGCAAAGTTTTTAAATAAAGTCCTGGATGAAGTAACTATTTTTGAGAACTAAATGCTTATTCTGCCGTTCCTAATCGAACTGTGCCACGGGTAGCCACGGAGTAGTTGATGGGAGGTCTCCCTTCACAGACCCGTCCCAGCTAGCGCGTAAAGGAGTGACAGCGCCACCATTTGCAGCCCTGCTGGTTTGGTGGCTCGGGGCCTGTGCCCCATGGCTGATGCCACCACAGACAGAGACCAGGCACCGTCACCTCCTGGAGGAAGAACATACCACCCACCACCCGGAGGGAGTCTTGTCAGAAACAGAAAAAACTTGAATCCTACAAGCTTCTAGGTTTATGTACAAACTGACAGGAAATACAGAGGCAGCAGAACATATTAAAATGATACCACAGGGGTTGAATACACAAAATCCAAACCGTAAGAAACTCAACAGGACAAACAACCCATTTCTTTGAAAACTGAACTGCAAAGGGGACATTTTAGACAGATAGATCAATAGATACTTAAAGGACATATCTACCAATCACAATGTGTGGACCTCATTTGAATGCTGATTTACACTTGCGCACACACACGGACACACACACGGACACACACGGACACACACATGGATACACACACGGACACACACGGATATACACACAGACACACACGGACACACATGAACACACACAGGGACACACACAGATACACACATGGACACATTTTACATCTATAACACAAGTGGAAATTTGACCACTGACTGTATTTAACAAATTTTATGAATTATTGTTAGTTCTTTAGTGTGATAATACCTTTGTTGTTATACACTTTAAAAGATGTTTATACTCTTAGAGCTACACACTGAACTATTTACAGATGAAATGATATAATACCTTGGACTTGCCTCAACATAGCAAGGGCGGGGGCAGTGGGGTTACAGCCCAAACAAGACACTTGTTAAAGCAGGTGATGGGTATGTGTGGGTTCATAATATTATTTTGTCTTTTTTTGGCATAAGTTTGAAATTCTCCATGACAACATTATTGTGGTGTTTTTGTTTTGTTTTGTTAAGGAGAACAAACAAAGCCCGCGGCCCAGAAAGCCAGAGAGAGAAGCGAAGGGGCAGGGCAGGCACGGGCTGCTCACTCACATGCATGTAGCTGCCCACGTCGGCCTGGTAGAGCAGGAAGGAGAGCAGCCGGCCCTGGGTGAGCTCCCCGGCCAGGATCTGCCGCAGCCCGCAGCTCAGCATCAGCACCTGCACGCCCAGGCCCAGCACCTGGGAGGGAGAAGGAAGAGATGGGGCCAAGAAAGGCCTTCCCATGCTTTCCCCTCCCTGCCCCTGTGAGCCTGAGCTCAAGGGACCCCGGAACCAGCGTGGGCTCCCATCCCTTCCCGACCCTCCCCGCTACTCAGCCGCTCACCCTCCGCAAGAGCAGGTACACGGCTCGCTCCAGGTCCCGCCGCCACCACAGCCCCCGGCACCGTTCCAGGGCCTCCTTATAGCGACAGACCTCGTGCTCCTCCGCCCCGAAGCTGCGCACGGTCTGCAGCCCTCCCACAGCCTCCCGCACCACCTGCCCCGCCCGGGCCACTGCGTCCTGGATCTCCCGAAGCACCGCCTGGAAAAGGGCAGCGAACACCCAGCTTGATGCAGCAGAAGCGAGCCGCCCCGCGTCTCGGTCCAGCCCTGGATGCTCCCAGTCGACCTAAAATACCCAGCTGTTCTCTTTCCCTCTTCCTTGCCTTTCTGTCCAGAAAAAAGAAGAGTGAAGGACCCAGGGAACAAGATATTGCTGAGCTTTCAGTGTCAGGCGGTGTAGGAGATACATGCTACTTTTTTTACCTTTCTTTGATGTCATTCTTCTGCCCCCTATGTCTGGATGAGGAAGTTAGAAGAACTAATTACCCCTTACGTAGATGAGGAAGAAGGAGCCACAGATAGTTAAGAAAGATGGATATGTAATTCAAAACAGATCAAAGATCTAAACATAAGAGCTAAAACTATAAAACTCTTAGAAAAATGTAGGAGAAAAGCTTTCTGACACTAGATTTCTCAATGATTTCTTGGATATAACACCAAAAGCACAGGCAACAAAAATAAATAAGTAAATAAAAGATAAATCAGACTTCATCAATGAAAACTTCTGTGTATCAAAGAACTCTATCAACAGAGTTAAAAGGCAACCATGAAATGTAAGAAAATACCTGCCAATCATATGGCTGCTAAGGGATTACTATCCAAAATACATAAAGAACTCCTACAACTCAACAACACAAAACCCAATTTTAAAAAGGGCAAAGGACTTGGAAAGACATTCCTCCAAAGATACAAAAATGGCCAATAAGCAGATGAAACAATGCTTAACATCATTAATCATTAGAGAAATGCAAATAAAAAGCATTACAATAGCTATACTTTAAAAATGACAACAACAGAAAATGGTAAGTGTTTGCAAGGATGTGAGGAAATTAAAAACCCCATGCACTGCTGGTGAAGAAATGTACAGTGGTGCCGCTGCTATGGAAAACCGTAAGGTAACTCCTCAAAACATTAAAAATAGGCCAGGAGAGGTGGCTCATGCCTGAGATCCTAGCACTCTGGGAGGCTGAGGTAGGACAATTGATCGTGCTCAGGTGTTAGAGATCAGCCTGAGCAAGAGTGAGACCCTGTCTGTATTAAAAATACAAAACTTAGCCAGGTGTGATTGCACACCTGTAGTCCCAATAAGCCAGGATGCTAAGTTAGGAGGATCACTTGAGCCCAGGAGTGTGAGGTTGCAGTGAGCTATGATGACACCACGGCACTCTAGCCCAGACAACAAGAGCAAGACTCTGTCTCAAAAAAAAAAAAAAAAAATTAAAGATAGAATTACCATATGATCCAGCAATTCCTCTTCTGGATACAAACCTGAAAAACTTGAAAGCAGGGCCCTGAGCAGACACTTATACACTCATGTTCATAGCAGTATTATTTGTAATAGCCAAATGGTGGGAACAACTCCAATGTCCATCAATGCATGACAAGATAAGCTAAACATGCTACACACACAGGGGAACATTGTGCAGCCTTAAAAGGAAGAAGATTCTAACACTTGCTACAACATAGACCAAACTTAAAGACATCACTAAGACAATAAGTCACTCACAAAAAGACAAATCTGTACGATTCTACTTAGGTCTATATGTGGTACCTGGAGTCATCAAATTCAGAGGCAGAAATACAATGGTGGCTGCCAGGGCTGGGGAGTGGGGGAGTTACTATTTAATAGGTCAGAGGTTTATTCTAGGAAGATGAAAAAAGTTCTGGACGTGGATGGTAACAATAGATGCCCAATAACGTGAGTGCACTTAATGCCATGGAACTATACAACTAACATGGTCAAAATGGCAAATGTTAGGTAAAGGAAGTTCCACCACAGTCAAAGAGGAACAGAGAAGGTGGTCCTGACAGGCTCAGCACTCCTCACTACACGCCCTACTTTCCCTGAACCCCATCCAAATTCCTTCTGCTGATTTTAAAGCGAAAACCTCTCTACCTAGAACCTTCCAAGGTATCATTTTTAATCTTTCATGAGGAGGGGATATAAAGACTCCTTTGAGAAGCTGCTGGAAAGTTATCATTTCCCCAGAAAAATGCCCCATCCTCTCTTGCACACATACATTTTGCTTACAGTCCTAGGGGGTCATGGACCTTCTGGACTCCAAGCCCCGCTGATGGAAGATGACACACAGAACATGGGATACACGACAATACACCTCCCAGCCTTAGGGCTGAGAAGAGAACATCTTTCTCTAGGGGATCCTCTAGCTACAAATGTGGACTCCCCCTCACCTCTAAGTTTTATTCCCCCCTCAGGGTTCCCTAACATCCACATGTACCTGGTGGCGGGCATTGTACACCTTCTCGGCTGCTATGGTGAGGGGCACGTCGAGCAGAGAGAGGAGGGTGAGGCGAGGCGATATGCTGAGCATGAAGGCATACAGCCCCACCACCTTCACCAGGCTTCGCAGGAGCACGTTGGCATTGTAAGGAAGCCAGCCGCTCATCAGCGTGGTGTCTGAGCTCAGCCGTGAGTTCAGCTCCCCTGGGGAGGACAGAGCAGGTGAGGAAAACATGCGTTCTGCAGAGACCCCCGAAACGCCCTCCTGACTGTCCCCTTGACACAGGCCCCTCCCCTAAACCCCCCCTCGCCTGCAGAGAGAAGGCTGGAGGAGGCTGCCCCTCCACCCGGCCCCAAAGGCAGAAAGGCAGCCCAGGCCTGGCACAGGGATGAAGGCAGGAGGGGCGCGGGTGGAGGGGCGCCGAGGGGCAAGGAATGTCCCAGGGAATCCCAGGCCCGGACCCCAGGCCTCACCTGTCTTGGTCTCCTGGAAGAAACCGAGGTCCTGGCGCAGCAGGGAGGAGAAAACCTGCTCTCGGACCCGCAAGTTGATTCTGGACATGGTGTAGACGAAGGAGCCTCCGCGGCAGCCTGCGGACAGCGAGCTGTGGGTAGGAGGAGCGGGTGGCAGGGTGAGGGGAGAGGAGAGGCAGGAAGAGCAAGGGGCCCGCAGTGAAGGGAAAGGCAAAGGCAGGGACAGCGCAGGGGCCAGGAGAGGCAAAGGACAAAGAAACCAGAGACCGGGAGGGGAGGAGGGCGGGAGGAGGCATAGGAATAAACGGGGCAGAAAAACGGGGAGACGCAGTGAGCTGAGCGGACACGGGAACAAAGTCCCAACATGCGCAAACTCATGAGTATGCGCAGGTGCCAGTGTGTGCTGGGCGCAGGGAGGCAACGACAGAAGTGAAAGACACGTGGAAACAGCCCGGGCTTGCTTCTGCCCTGGCCTTCCTCAGTGTTGCCCTCGGCGTGCCCTCTGTCTTGGTCTCCTTCCTCCCCACCCAGAGCCCCTCCTCGTGGGCAAGGACACATGGGCCTGGGAACTACAGCCGTGAACTCCCGGACCCCATTCTCCAGGACCCCAGAGTCATGCTGTCCCCATCCTTCATCCCCAAAGTTGGAGAATTCCTCTTAGACCAACCAAATCTCCACAATAAACTTAAAGGAAAAGAAATCAAAGCATGTTTTTCACAAAACATGGGCTTCTGATAGGAATTCAGTCGCCATACTGAGGCGGCTGTGGGAGAGTCAGACGTGGAAGGCTGAGGGTTTGCACTTCGATGACGGCAGTGTGGATGGGGAGATGGGCGGGCAGGGACACCGCAAGGTAGAAACGGCAGGGCTGTGAACGTGAGGAAGACGATGGTGATGCAGGGAGCCCAGGACACTGACGGCTTCACGAATGCGGATAAGAGGGGTGCCACTTTCAAGAAGCCAGGAGAGTGTGTGAAGCATTTGGAGTCCTGGGTCTGTGGAGTGTGGGGCGAGACAGGGCGATCCGACGGGAGGGTCAAGGAGGCGACTGGGTGTACAAGACCAGGGCCCGGCATGGCAATATGGACCTGGGAACCTCCTGCACAGACGAACTGAGTTAGCTCCATAGGAAAACTGTTTTTCAAGATCAAAGAACTAAGTCACCAGGAAAGATCATATTTGATGGCCCAGAGGAGAAAAGTTCTCCAAAGGAGGCAGAGTGGATCCGGAAGTGGAAAGGAGTGCACGAAAGCAAACTGCAGAAACAGGGCAATAATAAGAGATTATACTAATGCCAAAGGTTACAGAGAAACAAAAGGTAATTGGGGACTGACTTTTAAACAAAAGCAGTGGATTGATCAATAAGAAGTTCACATTTCAGTACAGCCATGTGTCACTTAACAACAGGGACACATTCTGAGAAATGTCCTTAGATGGTTTCCCCGTGGTGCGAACGTCCCCGGCACTCACGCAGACCCGGGCGGCATAGCGCCCCGCACGCCCAGGCCGCAAGGCCCAGCCCGTTGCTCCTGGGCTGCAAACCCGCGGGGCATGGCACTGTCCTGACCACGGCGGGCTGCAGTAACAATGGTAGGAATTTGTGCACTAAACGTATCTAAACAGAGAAAAGGCGCAGTAAAAACCTGGTATTATGGCCGTATTGGACCACCGTCATGCATTCATGGCGACTGATGTGTTGCCGCGGCGCGTGGTGTGGTGTCAGCGGAAGCAAGTATGGACTGAGGCGCGGGAGGAGCTGGCTGCGGAGGGCATGCCCAACGCACTCTGGCCATCAAAAAGGGGCAGCATGAAGCGGGCTGGGATTGGGGTATGGTGAGTGGGCACCTCCTTCAATTCTGCACCCCAGGAGCCTCACTCACCTCATCCACTTCCCTTGTCTGGCCCTGCCAAGCACTTTGTTTGTTTGTTTGTTTGTTTGTTTGTTTTGAGTGAGCAGACTCCTATGTCTAAAAGAGGCAAAAGCAAGAGAAGAGCAAAAGAGAGCAGAGGCTGGAGAGAAAGGAATAAGCCTCCCAGCAAGATGAGTGAGGACAGAGGAGCCAAGAGGGAGAAACAGGCCCACCCTGGCACAAGGCCGGCGCTGGAGAGACGCTGTGCAGACAGACTCAGGGGTGGGGGAGGGCGCGGAAAGGGGAAATGGAATCTCACAGAGCCGGAAGGGTTGAGCGGCCACGGAGACAGGTCCCTTTGGCACTTAAGCTCCTTCGTATGGCTCATACTCGGGCCCATGGTAATGGACATGGACTCAGATGTTGGATAAATATGGAGGAAGGAAGAAATGAATGAATGGATGAAACAGAATGGAGAAGACCACATTTTAGTTTGTTTTGTGCTTTGTACATGAACAGGCTGAAAACGGAGTCAGGAACTGAAGGCCCAGAAAGCAAAGGCCCCGCTGCCCATCACCTGCCTCCCCGCGGAGAGAAGGCACATGGAAAAGATGGCGCTGGCAAAGGCATCGGGGTCAAAGTCTCCGCCCAGGATGTCAATCACACGACCAGAATAGTGAGGGATTAACGTCTCACCTGAAAGAGGCAAGGAGGATAACCGCGAGTGTGCTGGCGCCAAGGCCCTTCTCCCACCCCCAACTGCATGTCTTCTCCAGACTCACCCAGAACAGCAAGAGTGAGGAAGAAGAAGGCCGCGGCGAGGAAGGGCACGTCTGGCCTGGAGAGCTGCAGCAGCCTCCACATCAAGGCTTTGCTCTTCTCCTGGCCCTGCTCTCTGCCCCGGGCTCCGGGAGGGCTCAGCACGGCCCACACCGCGCCACTGAGCCCCGCAGCCCCATAGCCCGCCAGCAGCCAGCTCCAGGGGGCGGAAGCCACTCTGACTGGGGGTGCGCTCACGGCCCCGGCCACCAGCGCCCTCAGGGAGAGAAACAGGGGGGTTGCCAGGCAGAGCGGGGGCAGCAAGGTCCCCACCAGTCCCAGCTGCCCCCCCACCTTCAGCAGCCCCCACAGCCCTCCAAGTCTCAGGGTGCCCTCCAGCCACAGTCCTGGAAGGCCCTGGGGAAGCAGAGCCCCCAGGGGCCCCCGAAGCGACCAGAGCAAGGCCCCGTCCCCCAGCAGCAGGCAGGCCCAGGGTCTCGGGTCCCGGAGCCACATGGCGCCGCCTGTGGGTAGAAGTTGAGAGGTGAGGGGTGGAGTCCCAATCCTGGTTCCCGCCCTCCACCTGTCCGCCACCCCCGTCACCGCCATCGGCTTCTCCTTCGGTCCTCCCCACCCCGAAAGCCCCCTGGGTGCCGCGTGGCGATCAGCACAGCCGTCCGGCGACAGACGGCTTTCCGCCCGTCCCAGGGAGCCGGGCAGCGTGACCGTCGGCAGCCTCACACTTACACAATACCAAACAGCCCGACCTCCCTCCGACCCACGCCTGCCGCCGCCGAGCCCCCGAGAGCGGAGCCGCCCTGCAGCCCGGGCGCCCGAGGACGCGGGGCGCGGGCCGGCGTGCTGGGCCGGGTCCCGGCGGGCGCACGGGTCCCCATGCGCACGAGCTCACCGGCCGCGTCGGCCCCCGGGCGCTCTCGGCCAAGCGCGGAGGACCGAGCTCCGAAACGCAGCCGCTCGCGGTCGCCGGCGCGCCCCTCTGCCGCCCGGCTCGCGGGCGCTGCCGCCGGGCTCCGCCGCTTTCGCTTTCGCTTTCGCTTCCCGGGCCGCCCACGGTCCCCGCGCGGGCTCCTGCTGCCCAGGCAGCGGTCCTCGGCGACGCAAAACTGCGGACAGTTTTAATTGTCATTACGTGACATAAAGCTGTTTCAGGGACTGAGATGATTTGTAAGTGGAGAAGCAATGGGTTTTCTCAAAACTGCCACCTGGAGCTCTGAACCTGTTTCAAGAAGTGCCCTTCCCCGTGCAGGCTCCAGTTTGAGGGTCTGGGGTGACATCACAGCCAGACCCCCAGCGACAAACAGGCAGCCGCCCTGGCCAGGCCGCAGGCGCTTCCTGCTCCAGCGTTCGCCCCTCGCCCCTCGCAGGCCGTGCCTGTGTCCTCGCGCGTCCTCGCCGAGCGCGGGAGAGGCGCACGCTCGGCAGCCCCCACGCGTGTGCTCCCAATGATGCGGCAGCACCCCCAGCATAGAGGAGGTGCCGGGTACCCGGTGAGGCTCGGTCTGCCTGAACCCGGATTAGAACAGTAATCAGGTTTCAAGGGCCCAGGCCTCACCCGGAGCCCGCCTACAGAGCATGAAGATTTGTTTATTCCAGAAACAACTCTTCAGGTCCAAACTACCTCCCAACCCCCACCCCCCAAAAAAATCCCAAAGGGAGGATCACGTGGATTCCAAACCACCCTTTTGATATGTTATTGGAGTAACTATGATGAGTCACTTGAAGTTTGAAATAGTGGTGGGGGGATTGGAAGTAAGGAATTATTAAAATTTTCCCAACCCTGTCCATTGTGGGACTTTAAGGCTCTCTCCCTAATGAAGAAAGCTCCATGCTCGGCCGCTTCTACGTTCAAGCCTTTGCGTGAACTCTTCTCTGGGAGGTGACCCGGTCCATAGATCCAGCAGGTTCGGACAATCTCTTGACGTCTGCCTCTCTCACCCAGCCTCGGTCTGTGCTTTCCCTCGTACTCCTCACTTTATGGAGCCCTCCTTGTCTACACTTGCTTCAGTCATCGTCCTGTCATCTCACTATCCAGCACGCGCGGTGAAGCTGGACCCCTACCGTCTCTCTGTGCATTCCGTATGCAATACCTCTGAAGCGTTACTTGGGTGAAGGGCGTGGTGCCTACCATTCCACACCCAGCGAGGGGGAGCTTTTCCATCTCACTCTGTAGAGTCAAAAACAGTTGTTCTAGGTGCCCTAGTCCCGGTCACCAAGCCCTTACGATGGACCACACAGGAGTCTCCAGGTGTGCCTCTGTGGAAAGGGCCCTAACCCGAATGAAACTGCGAATAAGTGTCCTCAGACAACAACGGTCAGCCTTCCTGAGTCCTGCGGAGATGAGTGTAGAAGGGAAACCCAGGAAGAAATACTTGGCGAGGCCCCATTTCTTGGGTAGGGCCCCCTTCTCCAGGAAAGCCCCTCTTGATGTCCTGTCCCCTCCCCCAACAACCACAGCCCCACACCACTCAGCCACAACACAGAGACAAGTATAACCGTTTTTCTTTATTGTACTTAGAGGGGCACCCAGAAGTTTCCTTGGGAGAAATGCTCCTTGAAGTAGAAAACACAGAGAAGATGAACTCCTGCGGCCCCCACTGGCCAAGGAGCCTGTTCTCTCCCTCTGGCCCAGGTCAGGCCTCTGTTCTCCGGGAGGCTACTCCGGGAGGCTACTCAGGCAGAGGTGACCTCAGGCAGAGGTCACCAGTCCCTCCCAGAGGAGGTCTGCCCAGCCGCCACCACCTTTACTGATTGGCCTCCCGGTACTGGTGCAGCAGGTCACTGACGTCTGTACTTTCCACTTTCACCCAGCCGTCTTCCTTCATGTGGTACACTGCAGACAAGTGAGAAAGAGCATGGAGTCACCTTTCAGCGCAGTGAGCTCCTGCTAATGGGATTATGTCAATGGTGCCAATAATACTTACACACACACATGCTTAAAACACATTACTGGGACTTCAATGCCCTGCTGACTCGGAAAACCTCCTCCCTGCCATTCTGCCTCCCCTGAATCTCCAACCTTAAGTGACCCTCCCTGACCCATCGCAGGGGTGGTGGTGGTGGTGGTCTCTTACTATTGACAACGCCTCCAGAATAGCTGTCTCTGTGGGTAGCATGAACAATGGCCCTGCGGCCAAGGTCATAGGCCTCTTTAGGGCTCAGATTGGGCCGATAGCCACTGTCCATGACTCCGTAGGCATAAGAGTTCCCACTACCAGTGGAGAACATGTTTCCTGACAGCCGAGTCCCATATTCATTCACATAGTAGAGTCCAGGACCCTATAAGATAAAAGAAGCTTCCAGATTGAAATTGAAGAGGGAGTTCTTGGTAACAAGGTTCAAGTGTGAGTCATAAAAAGTGGACATAAGAATGAATATTACCACAGGGACATTTGAATTAGGATAGCATGTTGGTAAAATCATATAGCTTTAGAAATCAATAAGAAAACAAGTTTGAAGTCAACTATTTTAACAAAAGAGGCAAACTTACAAAATACATACGATATCTGAACAAAGAAATAGCCCAGGGCTGTACTGGAACAGTCCTGTAACCCAGTGCTCTATGTGCTGCGTGTCTTGCAGGGGAGGGAGGGAGGCGTGCAACAGGGAACATCGCACCGCCGTGGGGAGCATGGGGTGGGGAGTACCCACCTTCTTGTCCCAGCCACAGATCATACTGCCCATGGAGAGGCCCAGGCCGCGGTACTGGCACATCATGTTGGAGAGCAGCTTGGAGGCTGCGGACACAGAGATGCGCTCCCCATTGCGCAGATAGTACAGCCTGGGTGAGGACATGAGGAAGGCGGGAGAATTAGAGGGGCCGGAGGAGGTTAGCTCCTCCCGCTGGATGGCACAGGAAATGACTGAAGAGATAAGGAATTATTTTGTAGGATCTAAAGATTGGAGAAAGATTTTGAATATAACGTATTTAAAATACATAAAGAGGCTGGTCCGAAGGTAGTGAGTTATCTCACGTGATTGTTCACAGTCAGTTACAGATTGAACTCCTTGTTCTACTACTTTCCCCCCTCCTCACTACTGCACTTGACTAGTCTTAAAAAAATAAATAAATAAATAAATAAAATACATAAAGAAAGCCTAGTAAATGACACTGTCCCACCCGGATTGGTGGGGTCAGGGCTAAATCGACAAATTATCTAAGATTTGGGAGAAGGCATTTATCTCCAAAAGGCTGCTTTGTGAAATACAATCTTAGCACCAAGATGGGTCCCCTGGGGCAAGGGTGAGCAACGGTGGCCACGGAGAGGCAGGACGCTGCCACTTGGCTAAGAAAGGAGATGAGAGCCCTGACGCACCTGCACTCCTTGGCCAGCAGGCGCTCCCAGTACTGGCAGTCTGCCGCACAGCCAGACATGGTGCCGAGCAGGTAGGGGTTAATCTCAATCACCTTGTTCACCAGTAAGGTGGCTGGGAAAAGATGGAGTTTTGTCAGAGAAGGGATGAAGCACAGTTCTCCCTGAGTGTCCTAAATCAATATCCCCTTCAGCATCGGTGCAGAGTTGGGCTCCTACGGAGAGCAGGCCCCCTGCCACGCTGCCTGCTGGAGCCCACACTCACCGATGTAATTCCCAGCCGAGGCCCGAGAGTCCACGGCCACAATCACCCCATGCTGGAACTTGAAGGCCAGGGTGGTGGTGCCGTGGGCCATCTCAATCCGAATGTTCCTCTCTCTGTCCCCACTCAGGGACTGGAAGAATTCAGTGGGCTGGTGAGTGAGAAGAGGTAGAGAAAGGACAATAAAAACTTCTGTAGCACGAGGCTCCAGGAAAGGGTTTCAAGAATATTCCAGCTAAGGAGATGAGCAGAAATTCTCCAACCATAGTAAATGGAACACTGAACAACCAAGCTCTCGGAGGACGGAGGACGCGGCTTGGGAGAAAGAAGAGGTGGGGACACCAGCCTTCTCCATTGTCCAGCACAATAGAAATGAAAGAAAACAAACATTACCATTACAGAAAATTGTAATAGCGACTTTCCGGGTTTTCTCCACGCACAGGTCATTCCGGCCTAGCAAAACACGTCTTATTAACAGCATCCTCGTTTTACAGAAGAGGGGCTGGAGACCTAGACCAAGTGGCTTGTTCTGTCACTCAACAGTGAGTTGCTAAGGGAAGGCAGCTGCCGAAGTTCGTGGGTTTTCCAGCTCTACACGCCCCTGCACCATACGATAACCCCAGGAAAAAGGCTCCCTGGTTTGCGTGGTGGAGACAGGGCAGGAAAGCTCTCTCCTCTTCCCACGGCCCCCACCGGCCCCTAGCTTTTCGCCCTAACCAGCACTTCCTAACTCCGGCCACCCCCACGTGGGCTCTTCTCAGGGTCGGCCCCCCTGGACTAGGGCTGGCCCCGCCGCGTCCCTCCGCCCCCTGCCTCTCAGCATCTCAGACGGACCCTCCTCCAGCCTCCCCATCCCCCGACCTGCATTCCGCGGGGGAGGGCGAGCTCCGGAGACCGCACGGAGAAGCTGTAGTGTCCCGGGCCCGAGCCAGGCCTGCTCCCCGCACCGGGAAGAGCCCAGTCCGGCCGCCGCCCTCGCCCTCGGGGGGCTCCGCACACGTCCAGTAGCGCCATGACCGCCGAGCCACCGCAGGGCCGCCGGCTCCCGGAGAGGGAAGTGAAAGCGAAAGCCACGGCCCAAGGGGGAGGGAACCAGACTTTTTCCACGTCCCCCTGCCCGTTCCAAGAAAAGGACGGTGGGTGTCCGAACCGGGAGTGTCACAATGAGTGGGGACCAGCTCCTCTGCCTTACACGGAGTCGGGGAAACGCTGGGCAATGAACTGTCCGAAGAATGGATGGAAAAGGGGGTGCGCTTTGGAAAGGCCCCTTGGCGGTGGATTACAGAGAGACATTGAGGCAGGGCGTCCTCTGGAACCAGTCAAGGAGCGGGGAGGGTCGGACCATCTCAACCAGGAAGCCGCGGGTCGGCCGGCGCTGGGAGCAGTTTCACGTGGGGGTGGGGGCGTTCGTGTGAGCATCCTTTCATGAAAGCATTGGCGGGAAGGAGTACGAGGGCCACTGAGCCCTGAGAACAGGTGCTGGGGCAACCGCGACAGGATAAGCCCGCAGCGGGCGGGGAAGGGGCGCCAAGAGAGGGGACCGTCTGAATCTTTCGACGCGGTCCCTCCTAGGGCCCCTCCAGGTTCAACGGTCTCCCTAATCCTCAGCCACCACAAGAACGCGTCCTGTCTGCCCCACCCCCCACCCGGGCGTTGCTCCTGGCTTGGCGGGGCCACATTTACTCCTCTAAACCCCGCCTCTCCTTGCAACCTGTGTTGGCCTCATCTGCCCAGCAACGGCCCACGTCACACGACGGGCCGTGCCCGAACGGGAGGGATTTGCCCGACAAGCCGCCCGCTACGCCGAGATGTCCCGCAGTTACGCTGAGATGTCCCGCAGGCGCCGCTGCGCGGCCCGGGAGCCCGGGAGGACGGCGGGACCCCGCGGGCGGCTCCCCGCGCCCCGCCCGCCTGGCGCTCGCTCCGCCGCCTGCCGGTGCCCTGCCGGGCGCTGTGGCGGGTCTTTTTCTTCCGCGGGGCGGGCGTGGGGCACGGGGAAGTGGAGGGGAAATCGCAGGAAACAGAAAACTCAGGGGAGACGGTGCGCTTAGGGCCGTAAAGCGGAGATGCTCCTCTCTTGAAGAGTGCGCTGCAAAACGCAGCCGCCCCGTGGGCGGGGACACAGAAACCACGGTAGAAAACGCCCATTTTATTATAAATATCAAGAATCCACAGGGTATTGATGCCTTTGGTCATATTGAAAGTGGCCGATCTTCCTTTATGTGCATTCTAAATATTTCTCATTTTCAGAGTGCCATCCACGCCGAAGCCTGTCCCTGGCTCTAAACCCTGCCTGGAGAAATTCAGCGAACTCCTAGACCAGCTACCCACCCTGCAGCGCTGGTAAGATCTTTGCTCCCGGATTCTCCACCACAGAGAGGAGAAAAGAGGAAGACGGAGCCTGAGAGTTTCATTCCAGAGCACCCGCGGGTGCCCGCACCATGTCGCAGTAGTGCCCCCCATTCCGCATGAGCTGCGGGTGGGTGCCCGCCTCACAGACAGCGCCTCCTTTCAGGAAGAGGACCAGGTCCGCCTGCTCCACCAGGCTGAGGTTCTGGGTGATGAGAAGCACAGAGCGGGACCGCCGCTCGGGGCTTTCGTACAGGAGCTGCTTCACCTGGAAACAGACGCGGGCCTGTCAGTGCCCCCACCCCAACCCAGGGAGACACCCGTTTCCAGGTCTGGGACGGGCCTCACGGGATCACTGCTGGCTCGGCCAACCACCCCAAGGACACCGAGGAGTCCTGTTCTGAGAGCTTCCCTGCCAAACCTCTGTTTTCTTTGGACTATTTACACCAGGGGGCAAAAGTGGGATGAAAGTCAGAGTCCTCTGGTGAGAGAAGAGTACAGGGTATTGAACGGTCTTCTCTGTACCCATGCACTGGGAAGTTTCATATTAGACTTCAGGGAAGCATACGGTGTGGTAAGGAGCGTGAGAACTCCAGTCGGGCGGACCTGAACTTGGACCCAGGCTGTGCCTGCAGCAGCTCTGAGGCCTCCGCAGGAGCAGGCGTGCAGCCTCTGGTAGCCTCCATTCTGTCAGCGGGAGAAGACGGACAACAACGCCCAGCTCCCAGGGATTCGCGATGAGTAAATGTGGGAGGCAGACGTGCAAAGGGCCAGTAGCATGCCTGGCGGCCAGGACAAGCTCACGTGATGTTAATGTACTATTAGGATGGTCTTTCCCTTATGTGTGGCTTGAGAGATCCAGCGTCTGTAGACAGTCTCCTTTACCTGATTCTAGGTGCCTTGAGGAGAAGCTAACGGGAACTGAAAATTGCATTGACTGCCTTGTACAATTATGATGTCAGTAAATTAAACTAACATGGGAGGAATAAAGGAAGGGAGACTGGGCGGGATGTAGACAGCAGGAAGAGGACTCTCTCACCCGTAACTGGCTGTCTGCATCCAGGGCACTGGTGGCATCATCCAGGATCAGTACACGTGGTTTCCGGATCAATGCTCGGGCCAGGGCCACTGCCTGTCGCTGACCCCCTGACAGCTGGCTCCCAGCCTCACCTACCTCTGCAGAGACAAGAGCCAAGCTGAGCACTGCGTGGCCACATGTGCACACACTGGTGCACACACACACACACACACACACCAAGGACTGGCAGATGCAGCTGGATAGGGGAGATTTGGAGAAGGTGAAGGAGTTTTGAGGATGTGTGGGTAAAGGAGTCCTAGGACCAAAGTCTTACAGCTTCAGATTGGTATCTGTGGGGCGGGAGGCACTGAAGAATAAAAGCAAGACTACTGGGGTTTCATGAAGGTGCAGGTGACTGTGTGGTGACACGAGTAGAGAGAGTACCAGTGTCATAGCCCCGAGGGAGTCCAGAGATGAAACTATGGGCTCCAGACTCCATTGCAGCAGCTTTGATTTCTGCCATAGATGGCATCTGGGTCAGGCCATAAGCAATATTTTCTCGAAGACTTCTTCCAAATAGCTGTGGCTCTTGTCCCACTGCAGCCACCTGAGATGAGATATGATGAATAGTCATAAAGCAAGGAACAAGGAGTGTGGTAATCTAGAGACTGAAGACTCAAACTCTTTCCTGAGAGCATATCAGAGAATCACATGCCCTCTCTCTTGACCACACTCCCATCGCCACCCACGCTCTCTTGTCCTTCCCTAACCCTCCTTTCAAATACTCAGAGAGAACACTCTTATTGATGCTCCCCACCCTCCCTCATGCCATCTTCTTGCACACCTGGCTGTGCAGGTAGTGGTGTTCGTACTGCCAGACGGGCTTCCCACCCAGCAGCACTTGTCCCCTGGTGGGCTGGTACAGATTCTGCAGCAGGGCAGCCACTGTGCTCTTCCCAGACCCATTGGGTCCCACCAGCGCTGTCACCTCGCCAGGACGGAGGGTGAACGTCAGCCCCTGTAGGCCAGGGAATCACACAATGAGAGGCAGAATCACACAATGAGAGGCAGACTGAGGCCCCTAAGAGGCCCCAAACATCAAGACTGTCACTGTCATTGTGATGCTATGTAGTATGATGTCTTTCCGTCAAAGAAAAATGGGAAGTATAGCAACTCCTACCCTCCCACAAGCACAGATTTCTGGATGACACCTCCCCAAGGATAGAGATGGGGCGAAGGCAAGGGCAAAGACCAAGTACCACCATGCCACACACTTGATATCAGATACCACCAGGAAATGGGAAAAATCACATTCCAAATCTCAAATGGAAAGAAAAGGCAAGATGGAAGGCTCAAGACAGATTTTGCAGCAGCAATTCCTTGGAATGTGACAGCCTTCTCTTTGAAGCCTCCTCCTCCATTCTTCTTGCAAGCCCAAAGAGGTCCTTGAGTTTGGGAAAGATGTGTGGAACAGACGATGCTTCTCATTGCCTTTAAAGGGTTAGGAAGGACCTGTGCTTGCTGTCAAGTAGGCTGAGAGCAGGAGGGAAATCGGGGAAGGCGGAAGTGCAGCTGTGACAGGTGGAATGCAGGGATTGGTAGGTTGTACCTGCAGCACTGGGACCTCTGGTCGGTTTTGGTAGGCAAAGGAGACATCTTGGAACTTGACAAGGTCCTCCAAGTTTAAGGAAGTCAGCAGACCATGAGGTGGGCAACGAGGCGTGCGGTCCAGATATTCAAATATTTTCTCTGAGGAGCCCACAGCCTTCTGTACCCTGGGATAGGTGGACAGCAGTACCTGGAGGGAGGTATGAAGAGTGACAGGGAAGTAGGGAGACCTAATCTGCTTGCCAGCACGATGTGAAGTCAGAGGGGTAAAGAATGGAAGAAAAGCACACGGGGTGCCAGGCCAGGGGCAGGAACGGCACTGGGAGTGTCGCTGCAGGGACCTCACCTCAACAGCTGTGGTGAACTGGATCTGGTAGAGAACAAAGGTGACGAGGCTCCCACTGCTCACGGCACCGCTGGTCACCAGCTGCCCACCAACGTATAGGATCCCCACCTTCAGCAGCATCCCTGAAATCTACGGAGAGACCACAGAAGACATGGGTTGTGGTAGAGAAATCTGGAGGGGACACAGAGAACCAGACTCATTAGCATAAAGGAGATATAAAGTCCCTTCCCCCAAGTAACATCAGCAGGCTCGACAGGCAGAAAGGAGAATGAACCACAGAGAGTCCACGGGTCTCACTCAAATACATGACGCATCACTCAAATACAGAGGTCATCATTATCTTTGTCACCATCACTATCATCGCTTTGTTTGGGGAGCATTTTGCTCTCTATAAAAGGCCTTCCTGAATGTGACGTTGGCCAATAGTGACTCAGAGAAGGAAAGTTAGTTGTCCTGGTCACCGAGTTAGCAGATGATATCATCAAGCCAGGGGCACTGGTTGCTGGTCTAGTTCTCATCCCTGCCTCCCACTGCTCCCATGGTTGTCAATAGCACATCCACACGGACCAGCTGGAAGCAGGCCCAAGCATAGGAAATTCTGGCTCCCTGGGCTTCCCAGGAGGGGCAAAGGAAAGCCTGGGACTGGAAGACATGGCACCTCTCCAGTCCACATGGTTGGGTGGAGTTTGTGTACCACAGCAAAAAGAAGCCATCCAGCATCCCTAAAATGAGGGAGGGGGTGAGGGACATTGAGTAGAGTCATTGAGCCTCAGGTTACTGGGTTGAAAACACTGAACCAACCAGTTCCCAGGGTGAGAGCAAGGTCACAGTAAAGGGAATGGAGTCACAGCATCTAGGAGACAAGGGATGGGCTCACGCTGGTGGTCCAATGGTTGACTGCATAGGCCAGGGCCTCCTTCTGGTTGAGTTTCTTTATCTCTTGCAGCTTTTGCCTAAACTTCTGGGCCTCGCCCTCCTCATTGGCAAAGCTCCGGACTGTGGGCATGGCTGACAGAGCCTCAATGGCCACCTGGCTGGACGCTGCCAGAGATTCCCGCACCTGCACCTCCAGTGACTGTGGAGACAGGGACAAGAGATGTCACACAGAGTTGGCAAACCATACGGGACAAGACCTGAGTTACCTGCTTGGAAATTAAAGTTGAGTAGAGACGAAGAGACCAAAGAGAAACAGCTATACCCCCTGGATACTTAAGGAATACGAGGAAGAGGAAAGTGACCCAGGATGGCTTAGAGTTCATATTCTTACAGACAGATTGTGGGCAGAAGATAGAAGAGAAGACACAGCGAATATGAAGATCGATGTTGAGCAATCTGAGAACATGGCTTTCAGGGACAGTGAGTTCCATGAAGATGGAGAACCAGTGAGGGTACCAGGAGAGTTGGACGGAAAACCACCGGAGAGGAACTGAGTCCAGCAAGTCTGGGAGATGAGGGTCTGTACAGGTTTACCCAAGCCCTTGGACATACCTGGTACCATTTTCCCAGCTTCTTAGGCAGAAGGAAGAGCAGAGGCAGGGCGACCAGGGTGACCATGGTGAGGGCCAGTGACCCCCAGAGCATGAACCCCAAGAGACACAGCCCTCGCACCAGGTACCACAGCAGCAGGCTCAGCCTCTCACTCAGAGACTCACTCAGGGTGGACGTGTCCTCTGTTACCCGAGATGTGATGGCACCTGCCGGGGTCGGGGAGAAGAGGGTGGATAGAATGAAACCGCTTCTGAGTAAGGAGAGGAGCTGACGATGAGCCAGTGTGCCGGGTAGTGTGGACACGGCGTTCTAAGGAGGCCAAGGCAAACCAGTTGGGGCCTGGGAGGTCTGCGAATCTCAGTGCAGGGACAGTGAGTCTCAGAGAGGAGGGCCTGGCTAAGACCTAAGCTTGTCCCCACCACGTGTGACTGGGCAGGCGTCAGCATTTAGGGCCTCAGCTGCCTTCTCTGTAAAATGAGGCAGTTGGACTCCATTGACTGAAAATTTCCAGGTTTGAAATTCTGATGTTCCTGTCTAAGGAGACACAAGAAGGAATAGATTTATGGAAAAATCCTAGATTAAAACTCTAGGTTTTCTTTAAGGTAAAGAGGACAATGTTTAGCTCCTGAGGTGTATCAAGAGTAAGAAATACAGTGTGTAGTGTGTGAGACAGAGAGAGAGAAAGGAAGGCCACAAGTAAAAGCGGAGGGACAGGGACACAAACAGCACACACGTGCATAATGAAAGAATTTCGCAAGAAACCTGTTTGGTTCTGTTGAAAAAACTCGGTCTCCTGGCGCAGGACGGCCTGGAACACCTCTCCCTGCAGGGCGCTGTGCGCGCGGCCCACGGTGCTGTTGTAGACGCTGTCGCCCGCGAACTCCAGCCCTGCGCTAGGGGCCGGGGAAGGAGGTCGGACAGAGGCCGCCTATGCCCCGAAGAGCACGCGGGCAGCAGGCCCCATGCCCAGGGACACCGTCCCAGCCCACAGACCTGGCTATGGTGAGGACGGACATGAGAGCTACGTTTCGAGTGAAGGCAGCCGCTGTCCCGTCTTGCAGAATCCGGTCGGTGAGGCGGCCGGTGAAGAACGGAATGGCCATCTCCCCTGGGGAGAGACAGGAGACACTTCCGCAGTCGCAAACATTAGATCTCGGCGGGTCAGCTCCAGTGAGACTGCGCCCACCCCGCCCTACCCCTCGCCCTTATCCTGGAGGGCAGAGAGAAGACACGGGTCACAATCCCCAACCGGAAGAGGCTGCCCTGGAGCTCACTACCCCATGGTTGCCCCACCAGACCCTTCAGGGCTTTAATTAGGAGGCTAGACATCATGGAGTTGAACACCCTCCTCTCAGAGGCGAGCATGGTTGGCCCCAGGGACAGGACCTGCCCACCGTGGCCGGTGAGGCGAGGCCTGGGGCAGGGCTGGAGCCCAGGACTCCTGAAGCCCCAGAGCAGGGCTCTCTCCGCTCCTCTGAGTCGTCTCCGGAGCTAGGACGTTTCTCCCGATCTGCATTTTCCAGAATCCGCCTACTTCGTTCAGCATTACCTTTGATCCCTGCCCTTGTGTCCTCCCCTCTCGCCCGGTGTCCGCTTACCAAGACAAGAGAGGACCACCAGGCCCAGGACCAGCGGGAAGCGGCGTATCTCTGAGCCCAGGCAGCCTAGAAGCCGGCGCGCAGCGTCTCCGGAGCCGGCCGCCCAGAGGGCCCCGAGCTTGTGCCACACGGCGGCCGCGGGCAGCGCCGCTGCGTAGCCGAGCACGAAGGCGTCGAGGCGACTTCCCCAGTGCAGTAGCCTGGTGCTACTGGCGTCCCTGGGGACTCCCCAGGAGCCCAGCTCTCGGAACAAGGCAAGTCCCGGCAGGGCTAAGCCCAGCGCCGCCGCCAAGGGCTCCAAAGCGGCCAGCCAGCCCTGGACTCCTGCGCTTTCGCTCCCGGAGCCAACCGTGGCCTTGCGGATCCCGCGGGCCCCCAGCCACAGCAGCGCCCAGCGGCTCAGGCCCACCGCCCAGACCCGGAGCAGCGGCAGCGCGGGGGGCGCCAGCAGCGAGAGCGCGCCGGGCAGCGCGGGCCGGAGCAGCGCGCAGTCGGCGACGAGCAGCAGCGTGGCCCCCAGCCAAGCGAGGGAAGCTCGGGAGAGGCAGGGGCGCCCGCAGGCGGCCGGGGCCCCTGAACCGGCCATTGCGCGCGGGGCTCTCGGGGCCTGGAACTCTCCGCCGCCCGCGCCGGGCCCAAGTACCCGGGCGCCCCGGAGCGCGCAGGCCCGCGGCTGGGACCAGCAGGAGGGGCGGGGCGGGGCGGGGCGGGGCTCCCGGAAAGTCCCGGCCCCGGCTGGTGCGGGCCCTGCTACCGAGAAGCCCAGCCGTTTACGGGAAGCGAAATCGAAAGCGGCCGCCCGCTCACCAGACGCGCCCGCCCGCAGCTGAATCGGCCGCCAGACCGCCCCGGGCGAGGTTGGAACTAGACCAGAGGTGCTGGGGCGCAGCGCTGGCGCCCCACTTTCCCCATCACGCACGCGCGTCCCTCCTCTCCCGGCCTCGTCCCGTCCACCTGCACGAACTTGCCCACGGCCGCCTCGCGGCTGCGCTCCGGCGTCACCTGTCTCGGGGCAGATGTGCCGGGCGCAGCGTCGCGCGGGCGCCAACCTCTCCCGGAGGCCGCGGGCGCCCCCCGGCGGGCGCGGGACGGGGCGGGGCTGCGGCGGCGCCCGCGGGCAGGGTCCGTCCCAAAGCAGCGCACAGGCAGCGAGCAGCGCGGCGCCGCAAGGATGCTGCGGGCGGGAGCGCCAAGCCCGGAGTCGCCCTGGGCGGGAGAAGTCCACACCGGGGTAAGGGGCCTGGCCTGAGAGCTGGGGGAGGGGCGAAGGCCGGGAGACCCCGGGAGCGTGGGAAAGAGAATGGGGAGACCGACGCGAGCGCAGGGAGGTGGCCTGCGCAGCCGGAGCCTGCACCCGCGGCGAGCGAAGGGTCGGCCAGGGTCGGTGGTGGCCGCGCGAGGCGGCGGAGAAGGGTGCCTTGGCTCTTAGCTGGAGGCGTTGCGGGGAAGCTGCCCCCGCTTTCGCTTTCCCTCTGGCTGGACGGCGGGCGCTGGCTACACCGAAAGAGGCCCTGGGGACGGGCACACGCACGAGGCAACGGTGCCTCGGGTGAGGTAGGGCGGCACTTGGGAAGCGAATGTGGGCACTTACTGAGAAAGAGCAACTCGTCTCACAGACTTTGATACAGGTGCCCGTGGGGAACTCAGCCCAAACGCTGATGGTGGGGTTCTGTGTGGGCCAGTGACGCCCTCCCCAGCTCGGCCCAGAAGGCTCCTCTCTGGCCCGGTGCTGCCCGCTCCCTCCGCGGGTCCTCCCTGCCCACCCCCGTGCTCCGCCCGCTGGGGCTTTGCTCGGGCTGGGCACGGGGCAGACGGCGCCCCCAGGCTGGCCTCTGCTCTCAGACTGCTGCCACCACCTGGCTCAGGGCAGCTGAGTTATGGAGGAATAGCCTCTGATGGAGTTGCCTCTGTTCTCTGCCCCTGTTCGTGGTAAGTCGGTAGGTCAGAAACCATGCTCAGGGCGGTGTCCCAGGGGGCCAGGGTGACCTGCTGTGGCGAGAAAGGTAGCAACAAAGCCATTTATAAATTGAAAAATCTCCTCTCACTGCCAAAGGAGTAGGTAGGAAGTAGAAGTCAAAACAAGGGAGAGGAGTTAGACCTGGGGTTTAGTCTCAGGTCTGCTGTTAATTCTGTGTGACCTTGGATAAGTCATTTGCGTTTTCTATGTCTCAGTTTCCTCATTTGAACCGAGGATCTTTAAGGCTCCTTCCAATTCAACAGAAGTAGCAAAAGTATGGCTTTGCCCTCCCTCACTTTTTTTAAACTCTTTTCTTGACCTGGAAAAGTCAGCTTAAATTCCCCAGTTAAATCCTGTCTTGGTACAGATCTCTTCCCCTGGCTACTGAGATACCCATTTACTTCTTGATCAGAAATCCCTAAGGGAAATGTTTTTATTTTAAACCATTTGTGTGCTTTTTGCTATTTCCCTCCTGCCTTGACTCCTGGCCATGCTAACCACTGACCTCCTCGATCTTTTCCTTTGTTCAGCAAACTGAAAGAGCTCATTTCTGATTAAGTGGGGGTGGGGTGGAGAATTCAGGACAAAAATCCCCCTGACCTTGTTTTCCAAGTTCACAGTAACTTGCTCTGTGCTGGGTCTGTCCCCCTCCGCACACCCAGCGTGGTGGAGACAAGCCCGCTGCGAGCGACTGCCCAGCGCCCCCAGAAGCAGCGCTCCTGCCCTAGGATCCTCACCCCACCTCTCTCTTTGGAATAGAAAAGATGCCACTTGGGAAACCTGGGGCTTAGGGACATGATTCTTTCTGTGCTGTGTCACAGGCTGTGACACTGCCCTGCCGCTGGATGAAACAATCAAGTGGGCAGTGGCGGGGAGAAACCGTACTGGGAGTCAGCTCTGGCCTGAATTACTGTGCCATCCGAGCCAGTCACGTCCCTCCTCCGGGAATGTTTCCTCTCCTGTAGCACGAGGGGACCCAGGCTCCTCCTCTCCCACGTTCCGCACTCTGTCTCTGCAGACCACCATCATGGCAGTGGAGTTTGACGGGGGCGTGGTGCTGGGTTCCGACTCCCGGGTGTCCGCAGGGTGAGTACCAGTGGAGACATGTGCACTGGAACGAAGCCAGCGCTGCCCAAACACACCTTTCCTTACCCACCCGTGAAAGGCTTGGTGGAGTGGAGCTTTGGGAAATGGAGTTGACTTTCCCAAGAAGCCACTATAATAAAGCCATTGGGGGGGGGGCTTGGGACTCTGAATTCATGGGAGAGGACCTGAGGGCTACGTGGGCTGTCCTGTAGTGTGCAGGGATGAGCCTAGAGGAATAGGATCCAAGTGGGGTCCAGGAGAGAGATTTTGAGCGGCCTCCTTCCATGTGTATTTGGGGATAAAAAAGTATATGTCTGCCAAGCAGATACGGGTTTCTCACATGTCTCCCTCCTAGCCAGTTTCCTCACATGCAAAAGGAGTACATGTGATTAGACAATATTATTACGTTATGTTCTATAGAACATAATGTAACTCCTTCAAGATTGTTAATAGGAAGGAAAACTTGATAAAAGGCATATTTTTCTTAACGTAGTAGTTTTTGTTTTGCTATAAAATCCAAGCCTAAAAATAAGTCTAACTTTGGTTAATACTTGCAGTGGTGACTTTATCTAAGATGACTATCCTCCTTTAATCCAAACATTAAATGTCATGCTATGCTCTTGTCAAGAAAACTCGAGAAGCATTGAATGACCAACCTCAAAAATTCCCACACTCTGACAGTGCCTTCTTCCTGGCAGGGAGGCGGTGGTGAACCGAGTGTTCGACAAGCTGTCCCCGCTCCACCAGCGCATCTACTGTGCGCTCTCCGGGTCAGCGGCGGATGCCCAAGCCGTGGCCGACATGGCCGCCTGCCAGCTGGAGCTCCACGGGTATGAGGCCGGGCCTGACTCCCTGCCGCTAGAGCGCCCCCAGTCTGCGCACCCCTGAACAGCGTCCCGTTCCAGGAGCACCACACTAGGAAATGAAAAATTCGTGTTTTAGCTCCTTCTGGCACTTGAGTCTCTAGGCCAGTTTCTGCATCTGTAAAGAGGAGATAACAGTATCTCGCCAGATAACTATTTTGAGAACCAAATGATATATGTGAGAGCAGTTTGAAAACTGTAAATCACTGTCCTAGTATAAGTAATCAGGAAGAAAATGATTACATGGCCCACCATAAAATCAGGCAGTTACTATGTGAGAAATCAAGGTCATTGGGAAGGAAGTAAACTTACTGGCTTTTATCCATAAGGGCAGGACCCTTGCAGCCAAAAGAGAGCTGTCCTTGGGGAATGGGCGGGTGGGGCTGAGTAAAAGAGGGTGGACAAGTGCCAGCTTGGAGGTACCAGTTGGTGGTATGGGACTCTCGTTCCCCTGTACACGTGGGAGGGAAGCTGGAGTTTGAACTGTTACAGCTATAGGTTTCAGGTGTCACTTGGCAGGGATGATGGCAATGGCATAGGAGGGTGGGACTTAAGGAAATTATACCGACCCTTATTCCCAACGCTTCCTTCAGGATGGAACTGGAGGAACCTCCACTTGTTCTGGCTGCTGCAACCGTGGTGAGAAACATCACCTACAAATACCGGGAGGACCTGTCTGCGCATCTCATGGTAGCTGGCTGGGACCACCGTGAAGGGGGCCAGGTGAGTTCCTCCCAAAGCACTTCCTCCCTCGAGATTCCCCACTCCCTACCTTGGGAGATGGAGTCATTTGTCATTCTAGCAATGAGTTCCAAAGGCACTACCTCTGAAAGCGCAATACAGTCTCAAATGCCGGGGAAGAGATCCGGGGCCTCAGTGCAGGCTGCAGAGACCGCCTGCGTGTCTCAGTGGGAGGGACAGCCTCTACGATTCTCTAGTCTGACTGGAGGATGCCCCCAGGTATATGGAACCCTGGGAGGAATGCTGACCCGACAGCCCTTTGCCATCGGAGGCTCGGGCAGCACCTACATCTACGGCTACGTGGACGCAGCGTATAAACCAGGCATGTCCCCTGAGGAGTGCAGGCGCTTCACCACAGACGGTAACCTGGCGGGAAGGGCACCTGGGGAGGGCTTTTCAACGTGGGGACGAAGTCCATCATGAGGAACAGGAAGAGGAATACATGGGGGGCCGTTTAGTTCAGTGTCCAAACTGGGATACTTTTGAGAGTGAAAGGGGGCAGGACAAATGCGAAGCTGGATGGGACTGTGGGGCAGTGGGGGTAAGTCAGGAAGGACTGTTCTGCGTACACCGGGTGAGCTAGGCAGTCACCTGAGAACCAGAGGCGTGCCGGGGCTGGCTCAGGCCAGCTCATGAGAGCGGATTGTTAAATCTGCAAGTATTGTGAGCTGCGTGGTATCTGTAACTTGAAACTGGTCATAGTGGGCGGAGTCACACATGGACATCAGCAGAGGCTGCATGTGAAGGCCCTTTTTGGAGCCAGTGTACCAGCACCCCACTAGATATGCCTCTCTGAAGGGGTTTCGAGGGGAGAGTGGCACTAGGCATGTGGACAGGAGGGGAAGGAAAGGGCTTTGAAGCTGAGCCATTCTCTCCTCCTCTCTCGCTCCTGAAACCCTCTGCAGCTATTGCTCTGGCCATGAGCCGGGACGGCTCTAGTGGGGGTGTCATCTACCTGGTCACTATCACAGCTGCTGGTGTGGACCATCGTGTCATCTTGGGCAATGAGCTGCCGAAATTCTACGATGAGTGAATCTTCCTCAGACTGCCCTTTCTTATTTTGCAATAAACGCTCTGGGATCAGAACCTGGTATGGTCGGTGAGACACGGGTACTCAGGGAGATGTAGCTTAGAGGAAGGGCTTCTTCCCTCCCAGATGTCAGCGTGCCCTTTTATTCTTGTGTCCAAGGTCTAAAATGTCTTTCCTAGAGAAAGAAAGGGGGAGTACACTAGAAATATAATGAGCCCTAAACATGGCAGGTCATCATGTACTGAGTGATTCTGAAGTTTTATAAACAATAAAAATTCTCATTCTGATGCCCAGGGAATGAGGGTGCAAGTGAGGAGGTGGGACTTGTTCCTTTAACGCTAAGATAGACAGACTGACGAGACAGCCACACTCATGAGAATTGGCTGAGAGCATCAGCAACCTCACCCATAAAAGAAGTTCTCTCATAATGCATTCATTTGTATTAAATATCAGGACATGAAAAATGCTTAAATATTTTGGGGGCACTTGTGAATTTCAAAGAATAATAACAATAACTTTAAAGAGCTACATTTATTGAGCCAGGCATGAGCCAAATGTTTTATAAATTTTGTCTTTCAGAGTTCAAACCAAGAAAAAGCACCTTATATACTTACTATACTATCATTACTTCTATTTAAGGACAAATGGAGGCTTAGAAAGGTACTTGACCAAGGTCGCACAGCAGGTTAAGAGGCTGAGATCTGGGATTTAGTTTTATCACATGCCCCTCCTCTACCACTACATAAAGCTTCCCATTCCCTCAAGCTCCATATATCATCTCCCGGAAGCTGCAGTAAGTAGCCCAGGGTGTTCATTGGCACTTAGGCAGTTCTGACAGATGCCTGAGTAACCACAGCGACAAAGCTGAGCTCTGCGGCTGTCTTTTCCATGCACTTGCTGAGTGACAGGAACAATTATTCCCCTTCTGTGAGCCCTCATTTCCTTTCTGTCAAAAGAAGGTGCTCAATGACATCTAAGGCAGTTGATAGCTTCAACACTCAGTGCCACTTTGCTAATAAGTGACAGGTAAACGGGCACATGCAACAGAAATACTAGCAGGATCTCAGGCTACACACACAAATTCAGAGTACTCTAAAACAGTCATGTGCCCCTGGGAGTGTGGAAAAAATTTAAAATTACAAGAGCCTGTGATTTTTATTTCTAGCCATGATACTTAATTTATTTTAAATTTTACAGCAGTAGTTTAAGAGCCCATTTTTCCCACTGACCACCACTAGAAGCTCTGGGAGCTATACAAAAAGCAACTGCTGAAGGACTCTGAAAAATAAACAAAAGCAGGTGGATTGTAGAGAGAGTTGACACTTGGAGAGGGGACTGTCCTTTGGGAGGCCATTCAATTGTTCCCCCCTTTCTTCGCCCAGCTTTGCCCTGAATTCAGGCCCCAGGTGCAAAGCTGCACCGTGGGCAGCACGAGCCCCGAGTCCAAGAGAAACACCAGCTTTCTGGCCAGAGGAACCGAGACAGAGGGCCCCTGCGGGTGGGAGATGTAGCGAATCTCCAAAATGAGAGTGTGACAGGAGACTCCCTAATTCAAGTCTGAACCCCCAGGAGTACCAGGCGACCCCTGAGACGCACACGCATGGGACACACCCTGAGCAGCTCAGCAAGGACTGTGAGAACTGAATGAAGATTTAAACTTTTTGAAATTAGAAGGCTCAATCTTTCCTTATTGGCCAAATAACCATATTCTTATGCCTCTCATTCCAACAAAAGGTTTGTAGCAGCTTACAGAGACAATTGAAAGCCATTTTTAAAAGAAGAAGAAATTGGAGCAAAGGGAAAATAAGATTAAGAAAATAAGTGAATCCAAGGTGGTAAATCTATTAATCATAAACACAAATATCTTTAACAAAAGAAAGAAAGAAAGGTGATGTACTGGAGCTGTCATATACTGGCTAACCGAGCAGACTAAGCTATTCAGGAATTTTGCAAGACAGTTGTTAATTACTGGTAACTTGATACTGACCATGGTGGAAGTATTTACAGCAATCAGCAAGGCTACAAGTCAGAACTTCTTGGTTCTCCCCCAGAGAGCCAGTTTAACAGGGTAGTGAAAGCAAAGAAGGGAAATAATATTAGGTCCAAGATTTGTAAGATTCATTCTTTTAAAAGGCTACAAAAAGCCCAAAAAACATACATGATAGGCTGGGTGTGGTGGCTCACGCCTGTAATCCTGGCACTCTGTGAGGCTGAGGTGGGCGGATCGCTAAAGGTCAGGAGTTCGAAACCAGCCTGAGCAACAGCGAAATCCCATCTCTACTAAAAAATTTTTTAAAGAAGTTAATTGGCCAACTAAAAATATATAGAGAAAAAATTAGCCAGGCATGGTGGTGCATGCCTATAGTCCCAGTCACTTGGGAGGCTGATGCAGAAGGATCGCTTGAGCCCAGGAGTTTGAGGTTGCCATGATCCAGGCTGATGCCACAGGACTCACTCTAACCTGAGCAACACAGTGAGACTCTGTCTCAAAAAAAACCCCCAAAAAACATGATAGTTCAAGTCACACAGAATAAGATAAAAGATGCATTATTCTATAAGGAAAACTCCAATAAATTCCAGAGTATCATTATCTTAGAAACTATCTATGTTCTACAACCATACTGTAATAAAATTAGAAATTGATAACAAAAGGATATGTAAAATTCTCATGGTGTGTAAACAAACAAAATATTGATCAGTAACATGGATTTAAAAGGCAGTCATAAAGAAAATTAACTCATTTACAACCCGGTTGGTAAAAACATTATGTATAAAATATTGCAGGACTCAAGAAAAATTAAAATAAAGTCACCGAACCCCCTGCACAGCCCTGCTGGAAGAAGCAGAGCCACTCTATTAATTATCTATTGCTCCCTAGCAAGCAATGTCAAAATTTAACAGCTCAAAATAACATTTACTATTGGCATTACTGGGACAGTAGAGGGGACCTAATGTAGACTGTGTACTTGATGACATTGTGTCGGTTCTAAGTGTCTTCAGGGTGAAGGCGGTATTGTGGTTATGCAGGAGAAATGTCCTTGTTCTTAAATATACATAGCAAAATATTCAGGGTGAAGTGACATAATATCTACAGATTACTTTCAAATGTTGTCACAAAACAGTTCCTCAACAGTGCATGAGTAAGTAAAATATAGTGTATTCATACAACAGAATACTATAATAGCCAAGGAAATTAATGAACTACTGGTAATGCAACAACATGGATGAATTTCATAGAAACAATTTTGAGTGAAGAAGTCAGACACACATAGGCCAGGCGCGGTGGCTCACACCTGTAATCCTAGCACTCTGGGAGGCTGAGGTGGGTGGATTGCTCAAGGTTAGAAGTTCTAAACCAGCCTGAGCAAGAGCGAGACCCCATCTCTACTAAAAATACAAAGAAATTAATTGGCCAACAAAAAATATATATATAGAAAAAATTAGCTGGGCATGGTGGCGCATACCTGTAGTCCCAGCCACTTGGGAGGCTGAGGCAGTAGGATCGCTTGAGCCCAGGAGTGTGAGGTTGCTGTGAGCTAGGCTGACGCCACGGCACTCACTCTAGCCTGGGCAACAGAGTGAGACTCTGTCTCAAAAAAAAAAAAAAAAGAAGTCAGACACACAAAAATACATAATACATGTTTCTATTGCTGTGCAGCAAACCAACCCCAAACTTAATGGCTTAAAGCAAAAACAGTCATCTTTTTCATCTCTGTGAGTCTGTGAGTTAACTGAGCTTTAAGAACCACTGACACAGCCCACAAACTAAGCACATGTTCCCGCAGCTGCTCCACACACCCCTCACGGTGCCCAGTGCATGGATGCTGGTCATGGTTTCCGGGGGCTGTCAGATTTGAACAGCTGTAGAGCACTGTGGGCTTCCCCTGCCTTCCGAGTCCTGCCTCCGATAGCAGAGATGAGAGATCGCACTTCCCCGAGCCTCTGAAGCTCAGGCACACAGAGGCCTAAGTCCCACCAGGCCAATTCATCCCGCTGAGACTTCAGTGCAAAAGTGAGCAACAGGAGGAAGGGGGCCCCTTGTACTGTATTAATGTCGCTGGTAAAGGTGACAGAAGAAGCTACTGGCTTTTAGGGAAGCAGTGGTTAAAGGGGGAAAAACAGCGAGGTTCCTGGAACAGAAGTGGCTCAGGTCTTCGGCGGCGGTTGCAGTCCAGCCCAGCGCAGAACCCCAAAACACACAAAAACATAGAAAAGCGCCGCCGCTGCGCCGCGGTATAGCCCCCCCCCCTCTGTAGTATGGGCCTTCACACAACACGAGCCTCTCACCTGTTGCTCCTGCACTTCCTCTCTAAATGCCTGATTCTGGGAGAAATTTATGTGGTTCCCTCATTAATGAGTTAGGAAGGAAGAATACAAGAGACTTGATGCAAAGAGTATTTGAAAAACAGAGATGTACGTTTCTGACAGGAGCAATTGCTAGGTCAGAGATTCAAAACGGTTAATGTACTACAGGGCAATAAAACGTAACCTTGGTGTTATCTCCTTTACCAGAGAAAAAGCAAAAGCCATCAGACCTTATCGGCTCTCTACAGATTAACCTCTCATCGCACAGGGCTGGCTGGGTTCTTTTTAGGCAAGTTACAATCCCTAAAATACTCAGAGTTTGATCAGGCAGTATTATGAGAAATGTTCAAGTATGATATTAAATAATCAAGCAAGCACAATTTTGTCTTATGTCTAATACTGGAACATTTTTTCCTACACAGTTCCTGACCTTAATTGAGGTACAGAACTGACCAAATAAGACTGTTCAGAAATGTTCTAATTCAGTCTCATTCATTTGATAGTGTCTTTTAATTCGCCTGTTTTAGGGCTAAGATGTAAAGAACTCCTGTTGTGTAGTTAACAAAACAAAGGCCTTAATGATGTTAAGACTACAGCATTAGCAGCTATCTAGAGGGCTGTAGCCTATAAGGTCTTAATTATAAACACTTCTGTCATAATTAGGAATACTTTTATAGTAACTCATCAACTCATTTATTCTGAGAACTCTCCCTTGACCCATGGCCTCAGAATTTTGCTTGCGGCGTCTGTA